GGGGGTTGGACTGGATGATCTTTCGAGGTCCCTTCCAATCCCCAACATTCTGTGATTCTGTGATTGCAGTTGCCCGAGGCTGCTTTGTGGGGCGGACTGGTCCAGGCAGGTCTTAAGGCTCTGGGTTTATGCTGAGGCAGCCTCTGATTTCTGTAGGATGGGTGAAAAGGGAGGAGTAAGCATTGTTCAGAAAACATGCAGCTACAGCCGCTGCAGCCCCGCAGTCTACCTGTGCGATAAGGCAAATGAGTCTTGCACCAGCTGTTTTGATTCCATCATTGCACGTGCCAGTTCCTGTTATTTCCTGGGCACAAACTGAGTTAAACTCAATGGGCTTGGGAGCGTGCAGCTTCTAAAGCTGAGACACTTCCACAGTGAGACTCATAAAATAAGTAATCTGACAGGCCAAGGCTGTTTCGCTCACTGAGAATGAAAGTCAGGACTCTCTAGTTCCCAGTGTATCAGTGAGAGATGAAAAAATGTAGAAGTTTACTGTTGCTGTGAACAAAATCAGCAATGAAAGAATAATTATTTTTTTTTCCCTCCAGATAAAGACTACTTCCTGATTGTCATCCAGAATCCAACTGAGTGACCACACTGACTTGGTCTGTTTTTTTTTTTCCTTTGCCCAACTGTTTTGTTTTTTGTTTTTTTTTTAATTTAATGGTGAAGAATAGAGTGTTAATGTTAACTCTGCTGTGCCACTTCAGTAATGTCTGGAAAAAACAAAAGCAGGTGTTTTTGTTGTTTACAAACAGAAAAAGTGGAGCTTTTTTGGTATCACAAGTCATTTTGAGGAGGAGTTGGTGAATTAAAATCAGACAGTAAAAAATGCAGCAGGTTCTTTTCATAATTAAGAAGGTAATATAATAATATTCTAATACTGTTCTAAAAAATATTGTTTCCGTGCTTCTGTCACCACTATTTGAAATGTACATTTACACTATGACTTTTGAGTGGCTGTAAATATGAAACTTGCCCGTCCTCTACTTCTGTCTTATTCTGTTGGTTTTACACGTTACTTTGAAAAAGTCTGCCTGTATCCAATTAAAAAGTGTCATCAGTGACTGTTTTTGTCTTACGTGTTTTCCTTCTGGAGATTTTAATTACTCTCATGATTGACTGATTTTTTTTTTTCCTCAAAAAATAGAATCTTCCTAGGACTGTTTTTACTCATCTGTGCTTTCTCTAGACAAGGATTTAGGCGAAGTGCACGTGCAGTGTACTCCTCATTGCCTCGTATGTTGGAGCATTTTCCTACCACTTCCTTTTTATTTCAGACAGAGGAGTGTTGTGGCTGAGTAAGGCCATCGAGATGCCTGTTGGAGCTCTCATACAGTCCCAATTCAGTGGCCAGTTTCATCTGGGACCTTTCTCTAGTCATTTTTTTTTTTTATTGATGGCCATTAAGGACAAAAAAAGCTTGTCTGGTTCCTCCAAAACAATAAAGGGTTATTTTTGTAGCATTGTAAGAGCCTTGTGGTTTCATGGAGAGCACAAGAAATTGTGCAGACTGTCTGCACTGAAGATGTTTATCATGTGTGTGACACACAACAGCTCTGGCTTGTGCTGAAGAGTCTTAGCAACGTGCAGAACGTCGGCCAGATTCAGAAATGAGACATGTTGTCTCGCACTGCGTTTGCTTTGCGTACTCAGGTAGCTCAGTGCAGCTCACTGCTTCAGCCTGGTTCCTCCCCCAGTGTCACTTGTCCCACAGAAAGGGAAGGGCTGCAGGTAGTGTAGCTGCCTGGTTGAGCTTCAGCCTCCTCACAGGTCTGGCCTCAAACTGCTTGTGATAGAAGTGTTTCACCAGCCTGAAAAGAAATTTCTCTCAAAGTGCACTGGAGCAAATCGGCACAGCCTCCAGCCATGAAAGGTACTGTGCAATTACAGAAAGAACCTTGATCACAGACTGGTGGGGTTGGAAGGGACCCTCAGGAGATCATCCAGTCGAACCCCCCTGCCAAAGCTGGCTCCCTACACCAGTTTGCACAGGAAAGTGTCCAGGTGGGTTTGAACATCTCCAGAGATGGAGACTCCACACCCTCTCTGGGCAGCCTGTCCCAGGGCTCCTCACTGGGTGGAGGAACTACAGTTGTACCAGGGGATGCTGTTTCTTGTGCCGATGAGGGATCACTGCTGACTCGTCTTTCTCTGTTAGCAGAAGTGTGTAATCCCATGTCTAGCCCTGCTCTTTCAAAATTAAAAGCAGTAGTAGGAACGTGATACTGTCCAGTTCTGCACCGAGGAACAAAGAATTTATGGGGCATCTCAGCAGGTTGGGGGGTTTTGCAGGCAATTGGCTGCAGTGCAGTTCTGGAGTCTTTAGGAAAAATGTCAGTGTTGTCTTGGATGCTTTTCTGGATTTCAGAGCACAAAGTGATGGGGTGGGGATGTGGTGACTCAAGGTAACCCTGTATGTTCAGCATTTTGTTTTCAGTGCATTTTCAGTTTGGGGCATTAATTTCTAGACTGTGTCTAATTTTTTAGGTCGTGTGTGTGACCATGAAGGTCAGAAATGCTTTTTGAGATCTGTAAGGTGGTCAGTCCCGCAGTATCTGGGTGAGGGTGTTTTACAGTATTTGGGGTATCTCGGCTCTCGCTGTGACTCAGTGTTGGCTGTTCCTCAGTTTAGGAACCGTTTCTGCCATCAGCATACGTCTGACCACACTAAACTGGTGGAGCCCTGGGCTCACATTTTGTGCTAAGAAGTGACTGACATAAACATCCCTCTCCTGGTCGTAGAAAACTGTCAGTTAACTTGCACAGCATGTATTCCCTGGCCCTTTTCTTGTTGAATCTTGGTTTAAGCCATCAAACCAATGAGTAAGGTCTAAAGTCATGCTCTGATGCACAGCACCTTCTATGATGCATCTGATCTGTCTTCATTTTATTGAATTCCATCTCCAAAAAAAATGATCTCCAGCAAGCTGAAGTCTCTGGATAATAACTGAATAGTGAAGCCAGGCAGAAGAAAAATGTGACTTCAGTTATCTCCTGTGTCTTTTGTTGCTCCCAGCCAGAGGAATGTTTCCTTGGAGGTGGTGACCTGCTTATGTATTTTGGCTTGCCCTAGTAGGTGGGGCAGTGTTACTCTTCTGAAGAGTGAAGAATTTCTTCAGTGGCCTGCATTCTTTTGGACACTTCCTTAAGGACAGCTGTTCTACCAGTGGTTTTGTGTTGTATCTGAGTTTGGGACAGCGAGTGTTGAGGTAGGTTTGGGTTTCTTTTTTAAACAAGCTGTAATAAATAACCCTATTGGAAAGCAAAGATCATGCCCATTTTCTGCGTTGTGTTGAGGCCATAAACTTGCAGTGAAATTACTGAGTTCCTGATCCTCAGTGAATCAGAAAACACACCTTAGGATGTTGTTCCTAAATTATAGAAGTTAAATAAAACTACCTTGTCCAGCAAGTTCCAAATTTTTTGAACATTAAGGCAACTTTCATTACTTTCCAGCTAAACGGTATTATAAAAAATAAATGTCACTTCAAACCTTATATACACAGTGACAGAGTAGATTTAGCTAGAAAGTATCTTTAGCACATTAATAAAGTGTCACGTAATATTACCGAGGTTATATCAGGTGCTTGAGTGTACGTGCAGTTGGAGTGGCTGCAGTATTTAAAGTACTGGTTTGAAAACAGAGTGCAGTGAACGTCCTTCTTCAGTGAGTTCTGGTGTTACACACACACACAGAATCACAGAATGCACACCCATAATATGCCAAAGGACACCTCTGCTCCATCCAGCCATTGAGGCCAGTGTGAATGTCACCATGCACGTTCTTAAAATGCAATGAAAATTCATTTCTCCTAAACAACTGTCCACAAACAAATGTAAACATTGAATGCTGGTTTGTTTGGTATTTAGCCACGTATTCCAATACCAAATCCAGTCCCAGGGTCTGGAATGGACTTGGATCTGAGAGCTGCGGGTTGGCATGATCACGTGCAGAAGCTGAAGGTATTTCCCCCACCATTGCATTTGTGGCCAGTATAGCAGATGGGATTCCAATATGCTGATTGTTTGGGGTTTTGGAGGGGGCTTGGGAAGTGGGTCAGGGTTTGGGTTTGGTTTTTCCAAGGACTGTTTAGCAATCTGACTTGAAATATACTCAGGAGTTTGAATAAAGGGATCTTGAAGAAGCTGGTTTTGGAATCTGCACGAGCTTGTCAAATCCATCTGGTCAGGGCAGGGCCTTGCTTATGCCATGTTAGCACTACCTTTACACTAGCATTCAAAGTTAATTCTTTTTTTTCTTCTTCTTTTAAAAGGAAGGGGTGGATGAAGCTGAAGAGCAACTTTTAGATAGTTACTATGGAGAAAAAGCGTCTTACTTGGATTAGGAGCATCGGAGAGTCATGGAGATCTGACCAGCTGCAGTTCTTCTGTATGCAAGTTAGGGGAGGATTTAGCTTTTCCTAAGTTATCTTAAAGATAGTCAAGAAAGAGATGGGATGAAGTTCTACTTCTTGTCCTGTGCTTGCTGAGTCTGAGCCTAGTCATTGGTATGGTCAAACTATTGTCAAACTGAGGAAGAACAGAAAAATAAGCGTTATGGTTCTAGTCCTTCTTTCTAGCCAAGGCAGCATGCCGAGGTGGCTCCGAGGAGGGCTTGCGTTACTGCCATCCGTGCCTTAGAGCTGCTTTGTGTTGTGCTTGGAGACCGGCCTCATCTGCAGTCTTGGAGAAGTCAGTTTTGATGGATCCCTCTCTGAAAAGCAGAGGAAGCATCTGCTGCCGAGACGTGGAAAACAAACCCATGAGCATTAACAAGCTCATGAAAGCAAGGCTGGGGTATGGCTCTGGGCTGGGAACAGCAGCACTCGAGGCCAAGGACATGCTCTCTTGTGCTGACTCTGCTCTGAGATGAGGCTCTGGCAGAGGAACAGGGTGATAACGTATTAATACTGCACAAACCAGGCTTGTAGAAACTCATCTTCTGTGCATCTTAGAGCAGCTCTTTTAAGCTGCTCCAGCTTGTGTTTGCTTCAGCACACTCCCCAAGCGACTCTTCCTCTGCCTGAGATGGCTGAGCTCTGATTGTGCAGCGCTCTTCTTCATGTATGGGACATTTATATTTGGTCTGAACACTTTTGTTATGTATAGCTGCATCTATAGGGGATGAAAGTCTGCCACAGATAGTTACACCAATATAGGCTGGCCTGCTGTTAGGAGAGCTAGAGTAGAGCTCTGTCAAACAGAATCACAGAATCACAGGATGTCAGGGATTGGAAGGGACCTCGAAAGCTCATCCAGTCCAATCCCCCTGCCAGAGCAGGAACCTAAATGAGATCACACAGGAAGGCGTCCAGGCGGGTTTTGAATGTCTCCAGAGAAGGAGACTCCACACCCTCCCTGGGCAGCCTGTCCCAGGGCTCTGGCACCCTCACTGGAAAGAAGTTTCTTCTCAAGTTGAAGCAGAACCTCCTGTGTTCCAGCTCACACCCATTGCCCCTTGTCCTACCATTGGGCATCACTGAGAAGAGCCTGGCTCCATCCTCATGACATTCACCCTTTATATATTTATAAACATTAATGAGGTCACCCCTCAGTCTCCTCTTCTCCAAGCTAAAGAGCCCCAGCTCC